TTCTCGAAGCACACAACTGCAGAGCGCTTCAAGTCCCCGCCTTTGATAGGCAGACGGAAACGAGCACAGAAGGCTGCGGCGTTACTTTCTTTTTGCAAAGCGTATTCTGCGCAGCGTGCCTGTCGCACAGAGAGATCGCCTGAATGTAGTTTGCAAAAACAAAACCCGGTTCTTACCTACCCAAAGACTCGCTCGGAGCGGCCCTCCCAGAACCGTGCAGCCGAGCGCCGGAGGAGGCGCAATGGAGAGAGCCCTGCGTGGCGGCAAGAAAACCCACGAAGCGGGCTACGCCTCCGCAACAAACGCCGCGCTCTTCCTGTCGATGTCGACAGCGCCACCAGGTGTCTGAATGAAAAACTATACCGCATTCGATGTAAAACGTTAAAGCCTCTCCCCGAAGAAATATATGACGCGGAGACCATTTTTCAGTAAAATATTGAAAAGCAGGTTGAAACCGCTCACGTACCTTGTGGTTTTAGCAGGCAGCAGGCAGCAGGGACATGCGAAGTGAGGCGAGATCTCCGATGGATGCTTGCAGCGGCTTGTACCAAGGAGTGTGTTCCCTCTAAGCTGAGTTAGTGTGAGCTAGCTCACAGTTTTTTAGCCTCCGGCTCACAGATTTTTGCCTTAGCTCAGGAAGGATGGCTACAGAGCAAACTAAATTATGCAGCAGCCAAATTGCTCGCTCACAGCTTTAATGTCAGTAGCTCACAAAGCAGAATTTTTGCTCACAAGACTCCACAGCTTGGAGGGAACATTGGAATCACAATCTTCTTTCTTAGTAGACTGTGGGTGATGGTGTACCAATCCCAGTGGTCAAAAACAAGAGGTCAATGGTTTTTCCTCTTAATCTCAGAATAAGAGAGAAGAGATACCTCTGGGCCACAAACCCTTGAAGGGTTAAATAGTAATCAATGGGGTGAACACCATAAAGTGGAACCAATGACCCTTGGTGTGGTGTTATTTGCTTCCATGTAAACGTGCAACATACAGTACCTGTCCAGACGGCTTGCAGCAGGTCTGTAAAGAGAAATCCTCCTAGTTCCTCCTTACCCAGATTTTCAGTCAGTTTTTAATCCACTCCAATTTGATCAAAGAGAAAGCCCAGAAGGGCAAAAAAAGGAGTTCTGCAGAATCCCAGAACTTCACTCTGTAGATGCTCAGAGGCCAGTGATGTCTTCCCAAACCTCCCTATCTTTCTGCTAGAGCACTACTCAGAATGTTTCAGGGAGCACAGCAAGCCCGGCAGTTCCTCTCACTGGGTTATGGTGTGTGTTTTTTTAATGGACCCTATCCGACACCCACTTTCTTTACAGCTGAGTCGGGACCAGGGGGTTCTTTGTCTTCTTCCCCAGCTCTTGTGCTAAGGGCAGCTGGGAGGGTCTATTCCTATCGGATGAAATTAATGGTTTTGAGCCGTGTTCCCTGTAAGCTGAGTTAGTGTGAGTTAGCTCACCGTTTTTTTAGCCTCCAGCTCACACCTTTTCATCTTAGCTCAGGAAGGGTGGTTCCGGAGCGAAACTAACTTATGCAGTAGCCAAATCGCTCGCTCACAACTTTAATGCTAGTAGCCCATAAAGTAGAATTTTTGCTCACAAGACTCCACAGCTTAGAGGGAGCATTGGTTTTGAGAAATCTTATACCCTAAATGGTGAGGGGTGGTGGCTCAGTAGCTCAGTGGGAAAGCTCCTGCTTGGCATGCAGAAGGTCCCAGGTTCAATTCATGACCTCTCCAGTTAAAAGGACAAGGCAGTAGGTGGTGTGAAAGATCTCTGCCTAATACCCTGGAGAGCTGCTGCCAGTCAGTGTTCCCTCTAAGCTGAGTTAGTGTGAGCTAGCTCACCATTTTTTAGCCTCCGGCTCACACGTTTTTGTCTTAGCTCAGGAAGGGATGTGGCTCCAGAGCAAACTGATTTCTGCAGCAGCCAAATCACTCGCTCACAGCTTTAATGCCAGTAGCCCATAAAGTAGAATTTTTGCTCACAGGACTCCACGGCTTAGAGGGGGCATTGCTGCCAGACTGAGTAGAGGATACTGACTTTGAGGGACCAAGGAAGCTTTGTGTGTAAATCGGCAGCCTCCTCTGAGAGAAATCTGATTCTTTTTCATCACTTGGTCTCTGGCGTCTCATTTTGTTTTCAGTGTCCGTTTGCGTTTCCTCCTGGAGGAGCATAACCCTTAGCCCTGGCCTCTCTCCGAGCTAACTTAGTCCTTCCTGCCCCCTGCAAGTAAACCCTATAGAAGGCATGCAAAGGTAAAGGTTCCCTTGCTCGAAAGCCAGTCGAGTCCGACTCTAGGGTTGCGGTGCTCATCTCCGTTTCCAAGCCGAAGAGCCAGCGCTGTCCGAAGACGTTTCCGTGGTCATGTGGCCGGCATGACTAAACACCAAGGCGCACAGAACGCTGTTCTCGAACTGCTGAACTACTGACCTTCCACAGCCTGCAGTTCAGCGTCTTAACCACTTGAGCCACCGCAGCTCCTAGAAGGCATGTAGGTCATTGCTGGAGAGGGGGACCCTGTGTCTCTACTCATGTCTCACCGTTTTTGAGCCTCTACCTTTTCGCCCCTCCTTCTATGAATTCCTGCCTATGGGCCAGGGAAGCATTTGCCTCTGATGTCCCCTGAAGGGCACGCACACCACCTATCGCAGGTCTGAAGGGCTAAGCCTGTGCCTCGATCCCCCCCCCTGGAATATACAGACCCAGAGAGTGAAATAGATGACAAGTAAATAAGACCCATGTTAATACAAGCTCAGAAATCTCTCCTAGACCAGTGGGACGGTGTAATGATTGGCAAAAAGTTGAAGTACTTATTCAGATATACCAGTTAATATTTACTCTGTTCAAAAAAAAATGAGCCAGTTTTGGTGTAGTGCTTAAGAGCAGTGGACTCTAATCTGGAGAACCGGGTTTGGTTCCCCACTCCTCCACATGCAGCCAGCTGAATGACCTTGGGTCAGTCCCAGTTCTCTCAGAGCTCTTCTCTCAAGAGGAGTTTTCTCAGAGCTCTCTCAGCCCCACCTATCTCGCAGCGTATCCTCCTCCTCCTCCTGCTGGTTGGATGATATCCTTGTCTGACATGTATCAGTGGAGTCCATCTTTTCACTTCCTTTCACGCATTCCTCAGGGAAAGAAACCCAGACAGTGGGGTCGTGCCAGATTAACGGTCAGATCTGAACATTTGATATTATTACCAAATTCAAGAAAGGGAATGGTTTTGGATTGCATGTTAGGTGTCATTGGACTGAATATCCCTAGAAAACACTGTCTGAACATTATCTGTGGGCACATATATTTTGGCAGTTTCTCCAAGTGCCATAATAATCTATCGTATGAATTTTCCATTATATTGTTATAAAGCATTGCTGCATTTTATACTTGTACAATTTTGTAATTCTACAGTTCTGTGTTCCTGAGAAACACTATCAACTACCTAGGAAAAGTGTTGGAAATCTTCTCTGGACTTGACTGTTTCCCTTTATGGATTGAGGATTTTTCATTCCCATATGTTACTGATATTGCTAATTATGTGCTTCTTTTCACTTTATTAAAAGTCTCTTTTTGTACATTTATACTTGCGGGTATAAAACAGTTGTTGTTTTATTGTTGTTTTTGGCTATATTAGACTGTGTGCTGTACTGTTTGTTACTTGTTACCCATTAGGTTAAATGACTTTGTGAATCTGCTTCTCAGCTCAGTTTGAATCTTTCAGTCTACAGATTGTCCTGCAGAACAACCCCCCCCCCCTCCAGTTACACTTTCAATCAAGATCTGAAGCAGGACAGTATTTAGTCATAAATGTAAGCTTTATTGGGAAATGGAATGCAAAAAAGTGACCTGCAGCACAATTCATTGCAGAGTGACTCCAGTAGACACCCATTAAGTTCACTAGACTTACATGGGATTAACTTTGCTTAGTATAACCCTTTTAGGGTATGATTGTTGGGGTACAAATAATTTGGATTTCTTTCCTCCTTAGCACACAAGTGCAACCAGCTAATTAAAGAGCAATGCATGCTGTTTATGTAACTACTAGAAATAAGGCCCGTTGTGGAAATAAATACAACGGGATCTAGAAAGAGGCTCTGGGAGAGTGCTCTGGCTTTGGGCAAACAGTGTCAGTCTGCTTTTAAAACATGAACCTGGGACCTGCACACCACCAGAATACAGCAGATTCCATATGCAACTGACATTCCAACTGCCTTGCGGGGGGGGGGAGTTTGAGGTGTGGAATGGAGTGAAGTCCAATCAGCTTCCATATGCAAAAGACCAGGTTGTCGCAGCAGTTGTGGTGTGGGCGGGACCCGGGCTTTGCCTTCTGATTGGTGGCGATATATGCTGAGGAGCAGTGCCATCAGCCATACACTAAGGGAGTGCATTTTAGAATTAGAACCTTGGCACCCACTATTCAATTATATATAAGGACAGATTCTCACCAGCTCCAGCTCCCAAGAAGGCCAGATCACGTGTTGGACATGCAAAGCTGCCTTATACTGACTCAGAGCACTGGTCTAGCAAGATCAGTATTGCCCACTCAGATTGGCAGCACTTCTCCAGGGTCCCAGGCAAAGGTCTTTCACATCACCTCCTACCTGATCCTTTCAACTGGAGATTCTGGGCACTGAACCAGAGAGCTTTGGCATGCCAAGCAGGTGATCGGTCAATGAACCATGCCCTCAACCCCTACGAATGTTTACAGATTTGCCATTGATTCAAAGTTAGTAGCCTTGATGCCTGGCTTGTTAATCCCAAAACTATTAAAATAGTGCTGGTGAGCAACTCTTGAAAATAGCTTGTTGCTACAGAAAAGCTTATTGCTTTACATAACATGCTTTATGCATGGGCTAGAGACAGGGAAGTAAAAATAGGCCAAGGCTGAGGTCCTACTTATGCTTGCTAGTGAGAAATCAGTGGCATAGATAGGATTTACGATCATTTTACACCAGACTGAAGTTCCCAAAAAGAATGGTCTCAAACTATAAATCTATATGCAATTCTTACCCAAAGTTCTGAGGCAAAGTCAACATTTCTCCAAGCATTAGTGTTTCTGCCCCTTTTACAGTAGAAGGATCATCTTTCATTAACTGGTTGAGCAGGTCTCCTGCAAAAATACAAAAATGAGTCAGATATGTCATTGTCAACCTTTTTAGATCCAGGACCTAATACTCCAATCTGGTACTGAGACCCTGTTTTAACCTAACATGGCTACCCATCTTGATCTATCTCCCCAATGGGGACCCAAAGTGGCTTACACCATTCTCCTCTCCTCCATTTTATCCTCACAACTACCTTGCGAGGTAGGTTAGGTCGAGAGTGTGTGACTGGCCCAAGGTCACCCAGTGAGCTTCCATGGTAGAGTGGAGATTAAAACCTGCATTTCCCCAGATCCTGGCCTGACAATTTAACTACTACACCACACTGGCTGGCCGTAGGACCGACCAGTTATTATTGCTCTTTAAAAAAATGTTGTGTTTCTTCTGAATTTTTTGAATGGCTCAGTTGACATAGGAAAGGAGCACAGCTGGACCTCTCAGCCAGTGCCTTTTTGTGGAGTAAGAACTATCAAGCAGGAGGCCAAACAGCCTGATGCTGTTGCTGTCTGAAACACCAGGAGCAGATGATCCGAAGGAGCAATATAATGTGAGGGTGCTCGATGACATTGACCTAGACCTCATCCCTTCAAGGTGGCACAAACGTATTTGTTATAGATACTTCCCCCATCCCCATGTTGACAAAACAGTGTCTTTGCAACTGTCAAGCAGGGCAGTAATTGGATTACACCAATTAAATTAAAACTGCCCACATGGCCAAAGAGAAGCCTCTAATGAAGAGTGACAGAGGTTTGTTTGCTGCCGATTCACGTGGACCGGCGTGGAAAAAATGAGGCTGGCACTGGACCTCACGAGGACGTTATGACTGCTGCCAAACAATGCATCTTCTGCCCCAGTAACATCTGGTATAACACAGTGCAGTAAATGTAACAGAGAAGGGCGTTTGGTGGGATTTGCAACACACTGCTGGGATATCACTTTTTTAAACTAATGGACCTTGCAGGAAGAGAAGAGGAAGGGGGCCTGCAACAAGCCAGATGGCTCTTGTGACATCTGGTTCTGCCTTGTGTTTGTGTTTTTTCAGGGCTCTTTTTGTAGAAAAAGCCCAGCAGGAACTCATTAGCATAATAGGCCACACCCAACAGCAGGGCCTCATTAGCATATTAGGCCACACCCCATGACAGCACAGCTCATTAGCACATTAGGCCACACCCCCATGTTACCAGAAGTGTGCTCATCCAGCCACACCCACCTTTTGCTTCTTATTCTGTTTACCTTGTTTGTTGTCAAAACTCAGGGCCTTTTTTGTAGCAGGAACTCCTTTGCATGTTAGGCCACACACCCCTAATGTAGCCAATCCTAATGAGTTTCTGCTGTTGGGTGTGGCCTATTATGCTAATGAGTTCCTGCTGGGTGTGGCCAACTCGGGAGCCAGCCGGAACTCCGTTCCTGTGCGTTCCTGCCCAAAAAGAGCCCTGTTTGAGCTTATACCATCCTTACCGAAATAACGTCGTTTCCATCTTGGGTTCCTGGCACGATTCAGGATCCCAGCTGATGTGGGGATTGTTTGACACACAGGATGAGCCTGACTAACCACCCGATTCATCCTCATGAATCCCCAGTGTTGCTTGTGACCGAGGAGAGCTCTCCTGTAAATCGAAGGTCCACAGGAATACTCTGCCTCAAGGAGTATATAATGATAATCAGAGACACTTTGCAGAAATACACCGGCTTTGTCTGGCAGCGGTAATGAAGACCAGGGAAGAAAACATTTCCCTCTCTTGTAGTTTTGGAAATCGGGGTAGGTGTTGATTGGCGGCACGTTCAGTGCAGACCAAGGGATACCTTGACAAAAATAATGCTTTGTGGGCTAAGGTTGCCAGCTCTGGGCTGAGAAATACCTGGAGATTTTGGGGAAGGCGGGGTTTGGGGAAGGAAGGCCCTCAGCAGCGTACAGTGCCACAGAGTCCTCCCCTCCAAAGTAGCCATTTTCTCCTGGAGAGAAGATCTCTGGAGTCTGGAGGTCAGCTGTAATAACAGGAGATCTCCAGGTGCCACCGGGAGGTTGGCAACCCTATTTATGGGCAGATATATAATGGAGCTGTGGTGGCTCAAGTGGTTAAGACGCTGAACTGCAGGCTGTGGAAGGTCGGTAGTTCAGCAGTTCGAGACCCGGGTGTGCTGCATGACGGAGTGAGCTCCCGTCTCTAGTTCCAGCTCCTGCCAACCTAGCAGTTCGAAAGCAAGAAATTGCAAGTAGATAAATAGGTACCACTTCGGTGGGAAGGGAACAGCGTTCCGTGCGCCTTGGTGTTTAGTCATGCCGGCCACATGACCATGGAAACGTCTTTGGACAGCGCTGGCTCTTCAGCTTTGAAACGGAGATGAGCACCGCAACCCTAGAGTCGGACTCGACTGGCTTTCAAGCAGGGGAACCTTTACCTTTTACCTTTATATGCCTTTAGGGGAACAAATATTTCAACTGTTAAATATTTCACAGTGCTTGAAGTGGGGGGGGGGGACATTAAAGTCCACTCTGGCTATGAGACCGTAGCTTACAATGCTGGGGTTTCTGCTTTCGAAATCATTATCAATATGCACGGTTTTTAAGGAAGTGGTTTTATTATTTTAAGAACATACAAACATAATATCGAAATCTGGCAAATAATATATAAATGTTTCCAGCATTTCATTTTCATCTCAACAGAAAGGAGAGAGAGCACACAAAAGAAAGGGTTTCCCAGCCTTTCATAACTCTACAGAACCATGTTTTTACTGCGCTTCGGGTGCAGCCGGCATCCCTTGAAATCAGCGGGTTGGCGCTAAGGACGATCCCTTTCTGCTAACGTGAGGCATCTCCCTCCAACACAGCCAAGCTCCTTTTTTGGAGTGAGTCTCCTTGCTAAGTGGAAGGGAGGCCCTGGTTTGGACGCACTGAATTCCCTGTTGGTGCCAACTGGTGATAGACTGCACACCGCATGACTGAACTGTTCAACTACTCCATAATACCACGTGTTTACTCTCTTTCATCCAGAGGTCAAAATGTTTTCACCGTTGTGAGTTTTCACCATTGCTTAAATATAGTATAATTTCCAAAATACAAATGTTTACAAAAAGAAGACCTAGTCCTAACCCACACTATCACATAACCACAACTGTGTAAGCACGCCACTGTAACATACTTTACAATTCTTTTGTTAAGATGTGAGCGCTTTACCATGGGGTTGTGCCTGGGTTTATCGCCGAACGGCCCCTTCGGCGGAAGGGATCCGACTGGTGGCAAACCCAATTCCGTTACCGTGGGAATAGTTCCCAACACTGTGTGAGCCAGCATCTAAAGGAGGCACAGACAGTCCCGAAAGGAAAGGCGGGTAAAGTCTCCTTTTGACAAGCAGAGTGGGTCACTCTTCCTCAGTTGTTGCAAATGAACAGGGACCAACTGGCACAATTTTTCCTCATCATGAGGCACGTAAGAAGAGTTAAATTTCCTGAGACTTGAGCCCGGGCCGTGGGTTCCTCAGCCATCTTGAGCAAAATGGGATCACTGCTATTGTGAGTGGTCATATTGTTCCGGGTAACGTTCAAATTCCACATCATAATGTCACCCCTTCTACCTCTTGCATTTGGGGGGCTTTTGACCCCACTATTAAGAAATTTCTCCCTTCTATCGTTCTGGGTAACATTCAAATTCCACATAATAATGTCACCCCTTGTACCTCTTGCATTTGGGGGGCTTTTGTCCCCACTATTAAGAAATTTCTCCCTTCTATTTGATCTATCCCCCGCCCTTCACTTAGAGTCTCAGAGCGGCTTACAATCTCCTTTCTCTTCCCCTCCCCACAACAGACACCCTGTGAGGTAGGTGGGGCTGAGAGAGCTCTCCTGAGAACTGCCCTTGAGAGAACAGCTCTGAGAGAATTGTGGCTTGCCCAAGGTCACGGCAGCAGCTGCACGTGGAGGCGTGGGGGAATCAAACCCGTTTCTCCCAGATTAGAGTCCACGCTCCTAACGACTACATCGAACTGGCTCTCAATTCATCTGATGAAGGGGGCTCTAGTCCATGACATTTTCTGCCAGAATACAAATTTGTGGTTTTTTGCTACAGCAGACTGATATGGCTTCTGGAATTAAATTTCAGTGAAATTGTGTGTGTGTGTGTGTGTGTGTGTGGACACTACAAAAGAGAAGTTTCTAGCACATGGCTAAAGAAAGAAAAAGGACAGACTTAAGCATTTAAAAAAGGAAGCATACACACAAACGGAATAGGACTAAGCAGCTACGAGCACCATTCACAGGAAGACTCTCCCAACGGAAAGGAATGGGAGCCAATCAAGAGCGTCACTCCGCCCATTCGCATCT